AACTAGACCAGTATATTCTGCTTGTTTAAAAGGACATTTACAAGTAATGAATTTAGGCGTTTAAAGCAATTATCTAGAATCTGAGCTTTTGAGATTTTTGGTATGAAATCCTGTTTACAATTATAAACGCGTGATAAAACAGAGCATTTACATTGCACCTCTCCTATTATAAATGTAAGATCTTGCAAAATAGAAGTAGGCAGCAAATCCTAAAGCGCTGAGTCCAGCAAGTAGCCAATAAAAGTAATCAAGATGAGCCCGATTTAGATTATTCGAAAACCAGCTATCTCTGCCCGCACTGCCAGTTGCTTTCTCAATCACAGAGACAAGAAAGCTGCTTAAGAAGCTCCCAACACCAAATACGCTAGTGTAAAGGGCAAGTCCGATGCTTCTTAGCTCTGTCGGTACCTGATCATAGAAGAACTCTTGCAGGCCAACCATGGTCAAAGCTTCGGATAAACCAAACAAAAGGTACTGAGGCAACAACCACCATATACTCATCGGGATTGTCACACTTGGCTTATCAACAAGGTGGTACTCTTTAGCGGTTTTGAGACGTTTAATCTCAACTAGAGCTGCAATTATCATTGTGAAAATAGATATGAGAATTCCAGCTCCTATTCTCTGTAGCGTTGTGATGCCAGATGGTTTTCCAGTGAAAGCTCTAGCAAAGGGAACGAAAATGCGGTCATAAATGGGAATGGACATGAGAATGGCAATGCTGATGAAGCATTGTAGTGAAGCAGCTGGTATTTCAAAGCCGGAGACAATCGTTCTCTCCATTGTAGCCCCTTGCTTTGTAAAGAAAGTTGAGAGCTGCGCAAATGCAATACCGTATACCAAGCATGTCCCCCAAATCGGAACAAGTCTAAGCACAGCCTTTGCTTCTTCAACCTCAGCTACACTACAAACCCAACCACCTTCCTTTAAATGGTGTGGTGCAATCAAGGCTTTGTCGAGGAATCTGCCAGACCACAGGATTCAATATACATTAGAGAAGATTTGATTCAAGTAATTACTGAAAACAGTTTAAGCAAAATCTCCTAGGCCCAGCTATAAAGAGATCAAAGAAGCTTCTAGACAAGGCGGAACAGAATAAAGTCAAGCAAATAACTCAACTAAGCCATTCATACTAAAAGTTTCTTTCAGTTTGAGATAAATAAACAGTTA